AATGACATTTTTTTAAGCCTTTTTATATTTACCAGATTTGGTTCTTCAATTACTTTACGTAGGTGGATGTGGTAAAAACAAGTAAACTCACTTGCTGAAGCTTCTACTTGTGGTCATTTGCCAAGACAGGGTTGAAATTTAGACATTTCACTTCCCTATCAACCGGTTAATCAACTGACAAACATATGGTTTAGTTAGACATGCAGAATAAGTATTCAAGTGGCTAAGCACAGCCTGAAAAGGAATTTACTTTGAGGTAGCAGATGATGGGCCAAAAATCTGTTCATCCTCTCTAGCGTTAATGAGATGAAGCAAAGTGTGGGAAGGTAGTTTTCATTCAGCCTTAGGTTGTTTTTGCTGGAGTCAGGCATAAAACTGCTCAAGAAGTTTGGGTAGCTGCTTGAAGCTTCTGAATATAATCCATGGAACGTTACTGTTGGGACACTTTTTCTTATTAGATTTTGGGGAAAAGATGATTCTTTTGACATCCTGAAAGTTCTAGAAAATCTGATGTGACCATAAAGCCCCACTTAAAAATTTCTGGGCTGAGTCCAATTTTGGCTCCTCCTGAGGTTTGATTGTGTGGAATATCTAGTATTTAGGATTTTTGGAAAAAAAAAAATCACTTTGTTTTGGTAATTGAACTGACAATGAGATGTTCTTCAGAAGAGTAAAAATGTGGATTGAAATCTTTGTTGCAGGTAAGTGACTTACAGCCATGTAAATACACCGTGCATTTGTGCAAATAGTTTTTGCACGTCTGATGACCAGCTCTTACATCTGACCAACTATGTATTTCTGCACTTCTTGTTCAGTGAATTTTTTTGCTCATGAAAACTTTCCCAAGAATTGAATTGAATGAACTGCAGGATTTCTCAGTTTTAACCAGTTTCTTTCACTACAAATTTCTTGTACAGTGGAGTGCTAAAGAAGCTCAATCTGTTCAATGTTTATAAAAATGTAACTATGAAGGAAACACAGTCATATCTAGGACCATAAGAAGGTGATTTCATCACTGGGATCTATGGAAAACTCTTTGCCAAAAATAGAAGTTGGATAAATATGTCTTAATCATTCAAAAAATTAAACTTAAAATGATCATTTTCTAAGGGCTCTAGTCCAATCCCCTGTCATGTCTTGAAATCATCAGATGTTACCTTTCTAAAACTGACCCCGTAGCTCAATGTAGAAAATATTGGATGAAATACTATTGTACCCTTTTAAAATAGAATGGTCTGTAGTGGTCCATTTCTTTACAGTTCATTTTACAGTTGTTGCTGTGGAGCTGGATCTCAGACTATCCTCCAGGATGTGTTACTTACCAAGGATCTGCTTATTTGAAGTTGTTTGTGCAGTTTCTTCCTCAGCAAAACTTCAAATTCCAGCTCCAGTGCTGACAGAGTTACGGCTTTGGTAGAAGACATTTTCATCTGTAGTGCAGGTGCTTGCTAGTTCACATATAAAAAGCTTCTGCAAGGTATCCAGTAAAAAAAAAAAAAAAAGCTTATCCAAGATCTCCCTAGAATTATTTGGTGCTCCTCCCTGTAATTTCAGTTGGTAATATTTTCTACTTTTTTGCTTCCGTTGGAAGAGGCAAGAAGAGAATGGAAAAAATCCCTGCATGCATTCTGCATAGACCCTGTGCACTACTTGTCGGTTCACAGGGTAGTCTTCCTGATTTTAGAACAGTCAGCTGTTTAGGTTTTTTTTTTCCTGAGCTTTGTGCCCAAACCATTATTGCCTCTCTTAATTTTTTCTTTTTTTAGCACAGTTGTGAGCTGTTTTGGCAGTTGTGAGCAAAGGCAGAGATACTCCTTTGTGTTTCTGGTTGCAGGCTCTGTTTTGCCACACAGTTTGCTAAAAGAATTTGCAAGCTTTTAACTACAGACCATTCATGGATCTGTGGGGTCCTGCAGCCTGCAGTCAAACAAACCACCAACAGACAAATGAATTCCTCTGCTTTCACCCTCTAATTAATCTAGTTGCATCTGGTTCGTTCCAGCTGTGCAGAGCTAGGGGAAATGTCGTCAGAAACAGCACAACTTCTGGCAAATTCCAACTTACTCCAGCAAATGGATTTTTTGAAACTTGACAGCAAATGGAAATGTGACCTTGAGTTCTGGTGGTTGCCTTGGATTTTAGAAGTTTGTAACAGGGATGTGTGTGGATGAGGATTTGTGTATGGAAACTATCTTTACAACCATATGTGCAAAATGGAAAAGGCAATACAGTAAAGTTTTGCAAGAGGGGGGCATTAATGGCTTTCTCTTTTTTTTGCCTAGTAGAAGTTATCATTGAAGGGTACACTTGGAAATGTTAGAGTATTTGTATCTCAACTGAAGTTGCAACTTGTATAGTTTTAAATTTTCTTTTTTTTCTTTTTTTCTTTCCTCAAGGCAGTCTGTAAACTTTTTTAGTGTCTTGCGTGATATTTCCACATATCTGTCCATTTTGATCAGAACTGCTGGAATAATTTTATATTCTTCATTTTTCTTCTGTGATTTTTTTGGCCATAAGTCAAAGGCGAAGTTACTCAGATAGGGTTGTTTAACTTACAGTAGCTATCTTGAAGCCATCAATCCTGTCAGATTTGAAGACAGCCCTGTAAACTTTAATTACTTGCTCTTTCAACATTTTGATTTCAATGTTGAAAAGTAATTTCAAAGAGCCTGAAACTAAGCTTACTGTCAGTGCATTGCCCCATCTTTCAGTTTAGTCTTTCTTGAGGGTGGCTTCTTCGTGACTAAAGTTTCTTGGCTAAAAAAGGATCACTTTTTCTTTGGCCACATTTTTTAAAGCTTTCTTCCCATCCTATGTCAAGGATATGTTTATTCACAGTGTTAATGGAAGTACTAACAGTCACTGGAGTTGTGCATTAGTCCGGCAAGTATTACTTCCACTTCTTACTGTATACTGCGTGATGTCACTGCATCCTCCACCTCTGCTGTCCTTTCTTTTCATGTAGCTGTAGCTGAGTAGAAGCCTAAAACTTCATTTTTGTTCCTGCAGTGATTGTATACAAATAATAAGATTCTTTATGGAATTTTATATTAACTGTAAAGTGATAGCTAGTGGTTACCTCATCTGGTCAGAAACAATAGTGTAGCTAATTAAAACACCTAAATGGAGTATTCAGGGACACACAGATTGGTCTAAGTTTGCTGTCATCTAAAGACATCTGAGCCCCCTGCCCCACTAGGCTTAGCGGGCTGTTTGAAAATACAGCAAGTGACAATGCAGTGAGTGTATAATTAAGGTGGTGGTGGGGGTTTGTTTGTGTCTTTTTTGGACAACTCAAATAGGTAGGAGGGTGAAACAGACGTCTTTAATGAAAGAGGAAATACAGGGGGTGCTGCAACTTTAAAAAAAAAAATCAGATTTGTGCTATTTCTTAATGTTCCGTGTATAGAATAAAATATACTTCATTTTACACTTTCCCTCTTCCCTTCAAGTAGTTGTAGCTTAGTGCTCACCTCATCCCTCACTTGAATTAACTTTAGATTTCTTGTTGCTTAGAGTTGGCTTAAAGGACTTCATAATGCTGTGCAAAAGAATTTTGTCTTAAATTGACATTACAAAGTACTCTTGCACAACTAAATCCAAACATCTGTTTTTGAGTCTGACAAAAAAACCACCTTCCAACGTTTGGTTTTCTTTTCCTCCCAGCAGATTGAAAATGTGATAGCACTGGGATTATTTAGAGCCAAGGAATCAAGTTACAGTGGATTAGAATACTGAATATATTACACTGTTCTCAATATTTATCAATTCACAAATCTAAACATTGCCAGGGTTTTAAGTGACTTGTTATAGTCAAATTTTAAAGGAGTAATTTGCCTTTAATGACGTTTGCAAATACTCTTAATGCCTTGATCACTGTGCCTTTTTTATATGGGAGGTGGGGGTAGTAGGCAAAACTTACATTTTGGAAATAAGAAATACTGTGAAATAGAGCATGACAGTAACAACAGAAAAAGGGATGTAAGCATACTTATTTAGGTTTGTTGAATATCTCTGTGTCTAAGCAATAGTTTGAGCATTCATAAATCAAAGCTGTTTAACAGAGACTTGTAAGAAGACCTGTACTGATTCCTGTAAGAGTGCATGCATTGAGGGAATTACGCTTGGCTGGCAGTATATAGATAAGCAAAATGCCTACATTGGTAACAATGGTTTATGATTCCTAGATTGATCAGTCCGTCAGGAATGCAGATGAGTTTTTTAAGGAAGTTAGAGTAAATTCTTTTATAGAAAAGTTACTTAATTAGTATTTTAACCTGAAAGTGAGGGAGGGGACAACTGCAGTTACGTCACATGACAGCTAAATATTTTTCTCCTCGTCCATTTATTTATCAGTTCTTAGAGATTAAATTGCTACAGATTTGGTGGTGGAAAAAAGTACATCTTTGTATTTTTCTCCATATAGTTTTCCCTCTATGTTTACATATACATAAATAATATTTACAATAAATATTATCTTTAAAAGTTTTGATACTGTACTGTGAAAACATTGAAACATTAATGGATCCTATTTGGAGATTACTTTGACTTCTCCATATTTAGATGAATTACATTAAATTGTGGCCTATTAGATAAACCTTAGTATTTTTAAAGAGTATTCAAAAATATTTTTGCAAATTTACCATTCAGTAGTGCAACCTGAAATAACTGCCTTTATCTCAAAAGGTGACTGGGAGGTTTAACCAAGTTAGATACAGTGTCTGTATTGTCAGTGATTTAATGTTTATGGGATAGTCTAAAGGCAAATTCACTTTTTGTATATACAAGTTTTAAAAACCCTATGTAATAAAGAGTCCTTTGAGCGCAACTCTTGACTTCTAGCAGAGTGGAAATTGCATATAAATTGCATGGCCTCTCAATTTTTTTGTTTGTTTAAACCTTCCCTTACTTAGAGTTAATTGCTAAAGGCATCTCAGTGTCTTTCCCCCTAGAAGCTGAGCTTAGTGAAGGCTGTTTTTTTTCCCCACTTTTTCATGCAGGTCAGCACACAGAATATGAAGATGGGTGGGCTGCCTCGTACAACACCACCCACCCAGAAGCCACCAAGTCCACCGATGTCAGGAAAAGGAACTATCGGGTAAGTGTAGTTACCAAATGTGTAAACAGCTTTGGTGAACAGAAGGGAAAAAAGGGAAGATCTTTCTCTGTAGTGTGGGGGGTTTTGGTTTGCGGGTTTTTTGGGTTTGTTTTAACCATTCACAAAGGTCAAGAGGTATTACATCTGCATCCTCTTATATTGGTCATGTCTTATATATCAGTTAGCACATTTCTGCGAGAAGACGGTGGGCATCATCATCCTTTCCCAACAGGACCCTTTTTGTCATTGCAGAACACTTAACTACATGCTTTAGAGTAAAAAGTTGTTAATTGTGTGGCTTTGACAGGTGGTGCTGAACAACTGGAAAACTAGTATGTGGCACTGTTCGTTAATTATTTGTGCTCTGTGTGATAAAAGTACTTTTCTGTTAAGTCTATGAACTTGACTTTGACCTTAGGAAAATGTGTTAGAACTGGGATGAACGCTGTTTGTTGGTTATGTGATTATGTATATACATACAGACTGCAGTGCTGTATTTTAAAACAGAATATGGATTACCTTTAAAATAACAACGGGATGTGCAACGCAGAGTTTATTAATAGGAAGATTGAAGTACATGAAGAACATCCTTAATTGTTTTTTCTCATCCTACAAAGCAGATACTTCAAACTTATTGAAAAACATTTTTTCTAGTTCCCATTGCTGATTAGTATGTAGCTATCTTTTAAAGAATGAAAAATCTTTGGTTTTGTCTGTATTATCTTAATTTGCTTGTGAAATATGCTTGTCCTTGTGTAGGCGTCACTCTCCCTATCGTACGTTGGAGCCAGTACGTCCTCCGGTTGTACCAAATGACTACGTGCCTAGCCCAACACGCAATATGGCTCCCTCACAACAGAGCCCTGTTAGAACAGCTTCTGTGAATCAGAGGAATCGCACATACAGGTATTCAGTGTAGTCCTGTACAAAGTGTGGTTAGTATTGTATAAGCATATGGACAATAAATGCTATGATAAATATCAAATCCATCTGCACCTCTACAGTGAAGCTTGCTAATTCATGATATGGACTAGGAACATCATTTGGCATGACGAGAATGCGCTCTCATAAAACCAGAATTCACAAAACTGTGAATTGTGTTAAGATTGTTCACTTAATCCCCTAGTCATCTTAATTTTAGTGCTATCACTTTGTTACAGTACTTAATGAGTTACTAAATTTTGAAGTCTTTCAAGTAGGTAAATCGTGATATTATTTTACAAAATGCATACAAAACAGGGAGGAGACTTTGTACGCAACTTGCCTTTTACATGTTGAAGGACCGCATAGTATGCTTATAGTTCACATTTTTGTTTGAACAGTCTTTGATGTTTATAGATTGAGCAGCTGAAAAAGAGCATTGTATTTTGAGGATACTGATAACTTCAAACACAGAATAAAGCTGAACTGTATTACCAAAGGTTCTGCAGAAGGCTAGCCTTTTCTCTAGGATAATAAGAGTTTCGTGATGTGACAGGTCTAAATGCTTCCCTTGAAATCTTTACTTTTTAAACATCATAAGTACTTGAGGGTGGCTAAACAGGTGGACTTAAAATATAAGAAAACCTGACTTTTGCTTTACTGTCTTACAATTTCCAGATTTCAGTAGTCTCATATTGAAAGCATATAAATCAGAGTCTAAACAGTCTACATGTTTTGTAAGTTATAGGAAAAAGGTCTGTATTTGTTCAGTAGGGGTTTAACAATATTGGAATGACATGCTTTGGAACAAGGTTCCAGAAGTGTTTCATTTTTGGGCAAGTTCACTAAGACTAATTGAAAAAGCTGTTGTGTTGTAGTCAAAGTGAAGAGTTTTAGGAAGACTAAGCTTTATATAGGTTTATATCATTGTTTCGTTTCTCTTGTTCCCTGTTGTTCCTTTGAATTAGTAAGGTGATACATGAGGGACCTTACGTTTCAGCATGCACAGCAGCATATTCATACCCTGGGTTATTTTGGTTTCTTACAGCAGCAGTGGGAGTAGTGGAGGAAGCCACCCAAGTAGTCGGAGCAGCAGCCGAGAGAACAGTGGAAGTGGAAGTGTGGGTGTTCCTATTGCTGTTCCCACACCGTCTCCTCCCAGTGTCTATCCAGGTGAATGGAAACTTGCTGTTCCTCTTTCTGATTCAGCATTAACCTTTAGCATTTGCAAGTCTCCTAAACCCCAAGAGAAGTCTCAAAGTTCATTATCCAGAAACACGCAAGCCTTGAAAATTGCTTGCTATTGATAGTATGAGTTTGAATCAAGTAGTATCTTTTCTGGGAGTGTCCAATGTGCTCTAATGCTTCTTTTATATATTAATTTGTTTATCAGACTTTTTTGCCTGGCTGTCTGCATGTGACTAGGTAGGACACAACACCTTTTTAAGTGGGCTAGGGGGAACTTCTCTGTTGTCCTTTTAAGCAAATAAATGTTTTTTCATTGGCTGTTCATGCAGATACATAGAAGCATGTTTTTAGAAAATTAGATGAAATGAGAGGCAGGTACAGGGTAAATCTTCAGTACATTAATGCAAGCCTAACTGAGTTGTCACAAAGACACTTGTTCAATGTAATCGCCCCAGTCTTTCCAGATACAGGAAGTGATACTAGTATTCTTTTTCCTTTGCTTAGCCCTTTCAGTGAAGAAGAGTGTATAGTTGGCTTGCAGTGTGATCTGAAATACATGATGCTTCTGAACCAAAGAAGTGGAAATTTTTGGCTTTCCTCTTCTCTCTATTTTCTAATTCGTATAAAAGCAAAGGGCAGCTGCGCTACAGATCGAAGCGTACATAACAAAGTGCAAACGTATCTTTCAAAAGTTACGGCTTTCAGTGAGAAGTTCTGGGTTGTTCCCTTCAGACCTGGAAAGAAGTGGATTTGCTTGACCCTCATTTGCTGTGTACATAGGAATGAGCCTTTCTTTAACAGCTCCATTTTTCTCTCATCTCCTCGTGCATTCTAAAATACTATGCATCTAAAAAATAGCTAACACTGAATAGTCAAAGGCTTTCTCTAATCCTTGCTAACATACCTCCTTATTAACTCCACCTCTTCCTCCTCTCTTCACTTAGCCCCTGCTGGCTCGGCTGGCACTTCTCCCCTTCCTGCTACCTCTGCTCCTGCCCCCACTCCTCCTGCTCCTGCCCCTTCCTCCGCTGCCCCAGATGCTGCTGCTGCTGCTGCAGGAGCTCAGCCCCTTGCTGATGGCTTCACCTCTCCAACTCCCCCTGCTGTTTCTTCCACACCCTCTACAGGTGAGTGTCTGCTCCAGCTGGTGGGCAGGTGAACCCAGATGTCATCATGATCCAAGGCTTTTCAAAGTTACTTCAGAAGCAGTGATTTTTTTAATTTTTTTTAATATAACTAGAAAATACCTGCTAATATCCAACTATAAGGTAATGGTTATAGTAGACAATTCAAGGTGTGCTGGTTTTATAAACAACAATCATTTAGTTTTATCACTTTCTTATTCTTACATTTATGTAATTATTTATTACAGTATCATTTTACTGTGGTTTGCATACTGAGAATCTCCTAGAATAATTACATTTGGGGGGAACCAGCACTGATAGTTCTAGGTCTGATTATTCTCTTTCAGTAATGGAGTAAAAAAAAAGTGCATCTAGCAAAGTATAATTTATATGACTGGTCTCTTCAATGCTTTCAAATGACTAGTGTCCTTTCAATGAACTGATTAAAAAAGACATTTTTTTTGTGTTCAATGTCAGGTAAAATACAACTTTTTATTACCCAGAATAGTACTAAAGCATTTTGTTTTAATAGGTGGTACTTATGGTGTATATTGCAACTTGCTTTTTTTAATGCTTATGAAATCATCCTACATTTTTCATTTTCTCATATGCTAAAGCTGCAGCATATAGTGCTTACTAACCATAACACTGTTCTGTATCAGCTTTTGATGAGGAGTTACACCTGCATTGTAAAGATCTCCTTTAGAGAGCCAAATTCATGTATGGCTACCTGTGTGCTTTGTTACTTTTCATTATAGTGGAGGCTGATCACAACAGCGTGAATTGGTTTGTGTGTTTATTAGTGTTGGTCTTAGTAAGAATTTCACCAGGTGTCAGAAACATTCTTGAAATCATATTTAGTTTAAGGTACTGTGGCTCTCATAAAATTAGAGCATACTTACACTAGAATCTATGACTATGACTAGAAGCTTTCAAACTGTGATGAATTTTGGTATCAGAAGATGATCCTGATGTATAAACTACTTTCATGTTCAGAAGATGAGCTGTGTCATATGGGGCCTCAATCAGTTTTCCATTTTTGATGCACTGTCAGTATCCCAGTTCTTAAGCCATATTGCTTCTGTATTTTTGACAAATCAAAATCAAGCAGAGATTAGTATTTTAATGGGTATAAAATCACATTCACAATTGCATAAGAGAAATTTCAGGTTACTTACTATTTTTAAGATCTTTTGTTTCCTGTGCTATTAGTGAGGTTCCTTGCATGGCTTCTCTGAAATAAAGTACTTGAAGAGACTGGATAGTTTACCGTTTATGAGGTTGTAGGTTTTGGTCCTTAAGGATCTCTTATCCGTTTCTTCTCTCCTCCCTTCTCTCCAATCACCACCAATTTCTACCAGTGCATTAAGTAACAGGGAGACAGACACATTGGAAAGATGCATTAGGAAAAATGTGAAAAAGCCTATATACTAGGTGGATTGTTCCTTAACTGTTCTTCTTCCTCACCTGTAAAAAGTGCATTTTTTGAGATGTACATATCTGTACAAAGCAGGAGGAATGTGACTCTGTAGTTCATGCATTTGCTCTTAGAAGCAAGTAACAGAGCAAGCAACTTGCATTTTATTTATTGACTTAGTGTGAAGTTTTGCAAAGCAATCAAAACATAGTGGAGAACAATGCAGGTTTTTAAAAAATTGCGCATTCATTTGTTCTGTTTCCCTATTTACTTCCCTGCATGCATGTCTCCTCAACCACAGTGACCGTCCCTTGTTTTCTTGCAAACTCTGAAATCTACCTCTAGCACAAATGGTGGAGGCAGAATAGTTAGGGAAGGTAATAACCCATATGGGTATAATAAATCCTGTTTACTGTTATATACAGTATATAAGCCAGAGCACTTTATGTGAGCACAGAAGATAGCTTAATGGTCTTGCTTCATTTATTGCTTGCTTAGATTCAGGATTGATTACTTAGATACAGGAAGTGATTAAAATGGAGAGCAAATTTTTAAGGAGTTGTTTCAATTGACAGCTCCCTGAAAGAGGGTCTTTGAGTGTGATTTCATTTATTCCATCCTTCAAGCAGTTTCTAACATTCTTTTTTCCCCAGATGATTCTCTGCATATTTCCTGAATGGCACTAAGATAGTTAGTATTGTGTTTTTCAGTTGTAGAAGGTAACAGCTTTGTATCTTGGAAATGGCATATAGTTAGTTTGTACGTGTATATTGTTTAATTGCTGGACTGTGAAGTGGGGTTTTTTTGCAGTTTTATGAATAACTAAATTTGCAAGAAGTTATTATAATACATTATATAAAATGGATAACTGGGAATTATTTTCTCTCATTTTGAAACTTTGTAGCTTAGACCCCTTTGTATTTTCATACTGGCTTTTGTGAGCAGTGCTGAGTACAGGCAGTTAGGAGAGTTGTTTTTTGTGCTGCTATTGAGACATCCAGTGTCCTGCCAGTCTGGCAGCTCAACTGGCTGACTGCTCCGAGGATGCAGACTGTCTTAAAAAAACAGAAACCTTTCCAAGCCTTTGAATATTGAATGCAGATATAAAAAAGGCAGGCATCGTTCTTCTCTCTGCTAATACATTTCTCTTTCTAACCTAGGTCACCCAGTTCAGTTCTACAGCATGAACAGGCCTGCATCTCGACATACACCCCCAACAATAGGGGGATCTTTGCCATATCGGCGTCCTCCTTCAATCACATCACAGACAAGCCTTCAGAACCAGATGAATGGAGGACCATTTTATAACCAGAATCCAGGTAAGAAAGTTTTCCTGCTCTGTTGCATTCAATGCACTAGTGGCCTTCAGATCTCTGAAATCTTATGTTCTGTCTCTATTGCAGATCTTGCAGTTAGTCTCAGGTAACTTCCAGTATGTTGCTGGTAGCCATGCCAAAGCTGCAGTCCAAGTACAGAGTGTTCAGCTTCCCTTATGGCAAACAGCTTAAAACAATACTGGCTTTGTTGCAAAATAAGTTGCTTTTGATCTCACAGTCCCTATTAGACAAGCTTTAGTCCTTTGCTACACCATGTGTCATGTATCTGCTTTGCTGTGGGATGGGTATTTGATTTTGCACCAGAACATTGATTCTTCATGAATCAGTCTTTATCTTGTATGTTTTTTCCTTCTGATTAATGGACAGTTCAAGAAGTTGCAATTGTTATACAAGGGTAAGCATTAGACACTTTAGAGACACCAGTGGTATTTGGTATGGGATGCAAGGGAGCTGTGTCATCTGCTAAGTCCACAGGTGATGTTATTTTAATGGGCAACCTGTCTTAGAAAGCAGGATGAGATATCAACAAGGAGTGGCGTGTCCTGTGTGTCAGGCAGAACACAGTAGCTTTTTATCTAAGGAGTCCTTTTCCATGTGCTTCTGATGTGATGTGAAGGTTTTGATTCCAGAGTAGGGGAGACTTTCTTTTTTGACAAAGCTACAGAGAGATGCAGGGGACATACTGAAGGTTCCTTGTTAGGAAATGCCCTGTTACCAGCAAGACTGAATGTTGACTCGCAAGCACTACAGTGCGTTTGTGTTTGTGGTTGTTGCGGTGGTGGGTTTTGGTAGTGGTTTTTGGTTTGTTTTTTTTTTTTAAATTGACCACTGAACTTGGAATTAGGTCAAGTGCTGCAATCTGCATTTAAGGGATTTGATCAGGTTCAAATATTACTGCTTGTGAGCTACCCTGCAAAGAGATGTGTGTGCTTAACTTCAGAAGGAAATGGATAGTCCTGCTGGGGACAGGGGGGTGGAGGAGGTTATATGACTAAGTTGTAGTCCAGTTGCCTGAAATATGTGGCATTTGTTAAACACATTATTTGTGTATTGAAGGCTGAAAGGGAACAGGCAAGAAGGAAAGGGTAATAGCAAAAAAGGAAACCTTTCAGGATTACCTTTGCAGTAAAGAGGATTTTCAGTATATCCAGAGAGTTTCTGACAACTGCTGTGCATTTCTGCTTTAGCAAAGGGATAATTCTCTGCAAGCTACCATTGCGTTGTTAATAGGTAATCACAGAAGATGCCAAATAGACCTTAAATAAGTTACATAACCACAATTCAGTCTGTGTTCCCCAAAAGAAGATAATGATTATGGTGATTAGTCACTTGAGCTGTAAATCACAAAAAAAATAGTTCAATTATACTGGCATACTTGATACAACATAAATAAGCGGTTGTAGTAAGAGGCTTTTTTTAATGTACCTAGCAGAATACAGAATTTATTAGCTTTGCAGTTATACTAAAGCAAGTTTTTTTTGGCCTGTACCTTGAGAGGAGAGGATGCTCAAGCATGCATAATTGATGGAAGACCCTAAGAACAGAGGGACTGTTGTGTCTGTAAGGAGCAGGGTTAGTCGTGATAGGTCTTCTTGGCATTCCTGAAGAGAGGGAGAAAACACAAACTTAAGAGGTGAAAAAGAGACCTTACAACAGGCAGAGGGGTGTGCCAGCTATGGCTTGTTCATCTTTGCAGGCTGTCTGGCAACAAAGCAGTACTGTTTTTTCCACTTCCATTTTTTAGTATGTTGGCATAGTCATTTTTGTTTATTCACTTCACAGGAGGATTAAAGATACATGCCTTGCCCTGTTCTTTTGAATGCCACTTCTAAGATAATATAATTTCTCTACTTCATGGTGAGACCTTTTTAACAACTGAAAATAAAATACTAAGACATGCAGACCTTAAGTGATCTCAGCATATGTCTGTCCCAAAGCCACTCTTGCCAGCCATGCCACCTAACAAGTGTTTTAACTTTGCAACCTTAGATACCAGTATCTAAGCAGTATAGAGCTTAGCACAGGCTAAAAACCCTGTGGGAGAAACTGGGCAAGTATTGAGATGGTGGTCTGCACTACACACTATTTGTATAGCTGAATTCTTACCAGGCTGAAGCAATCTGATGGAAGGTGCTCTTGAGCCTTTCTGAATTAATTTACAGCAACTGTGTCGATGAACTCTTAATCTACCAATGGTCTACATGGAAGGAAGCTGGGAGGGAACTTTTAAGCTGGTATTTATCTCATGTTTTGAGACAGCAGAGGTACAGTGAAGTTCTTGCGATGCACTTTATAAACAAAGTCATTATTAATAAAGTATTTATTGTATTGGCTCCTAAAGGTCAAAACTAGCTTAGAGTCATTATTATCATATGGAGACAATATGATATAATAGTCCCAGCAGTGTACATAAACTGAAGCACAAACCAGATGTTTAAGATAAACAAGAAATGATGTCAGCTAGTGTTAGCATCACCATTTTGATTAAACTACACAATCCAAACTAAACTAAGGGATTTTTTTGCATTTGCTTGGAGTACTTGTCTTGAGTGATTTATTTTTCTACATGGAAAGCCTCGTTATTTCTTTTGAAGAAATATATATAGCACACAAACAAAGTACACTGAAGGGACCTAGGAAACTGAAGCTAGTCTCCTATGAGAGACATGAATTGTATGAATCCATATGATGTTGAACAGAGGAAACATTTTGAAACTGAACATTTTTATAGCCTATATAGTTAAAAAGGCAGGGACTTCATAATTGCATAAGAATGCTGAATTCATGAATATTACTGCATTTCAGTAGGACTTCAAGTTCCCTTTTCCTGCTTTGAAAAAATGCAAGACCAAATCTTTTTCCAGCTACTGTGGTTACACTTGAAGGAATAAATACTCTCAGAGGCCATGTCATTCAAGTCAAAGAAGCTGTAATTAGAAAGGTATTTCAGTTTTTCTCAAGAAGTATCAATTAAATGGTGAGATAATGGAGCTTGCTTCATATGGAGGTACAAGGATATTTTTGCAACAAAAAGGATGGTTGCTCTGTTGGTTTTTTTTTTGTTTGGGGTGTGTGGTTGTGAAAGGAATGTGAGTGACAGAAGAAATTCAAAGCACTTCAGATAATAGTTACTGAAATAAGCAAACAGAAAAAATTTTGACACGAGCTTTAAATGCTGTAGAGTTCTTTTCATTTGCTATGGTGATGTGAATTAATTTTGAAAAATACTACATCATACCTGGCCATGTTCTTACCAGCTCTAGAAGTAGTCTGATATTTATTTAGTTCTTTTCTGCAAGCTAACTAAATGTACTGGTACATGAAATGTAGACCTTTTTCCCTCATTCTTTTGGACATGACTAAATGTATGCCACTACTAACAAGAACATTACTTAGTTGTGCTCTTCCTGAGGTGTGCTTTCTGAAGAATAATGTTGTAACTTGCTTTAAGAATATTACTGCATTACTCTTGCAAAGTGGTACTAAAATTAGATAAAACTACTTAACTATTTTTTAAACTTAAATAGATAACTGAAACTTTCATTCCTAGCTTAAACCACAGTTCAGTGTTACTCTCAGCCATCTGCAAATGTTGTATCTTCTTTAAATGTGAATTCACATGTATTGTACAAAGACAGCTCTTCTGGTACCAGTAAAAGAGTTGTTCAGAGTTCAGTGCAGTGGTCTGCAAAATCAGGTGGGAAGGAAATGAGACAGCACATCTGGAATAGGCCCTGTTGTTCAGCAGCAGCACAGTGTGCTTTTTTCTACCAATGAGGTCAGAAGTCCCTGTCTTCCAAGTATGCTCAGTTCTCAAAGGCGTCTTTTTCTGTTTTGCCTAAAATAGCTGCCTCATTTGATGGGGTTTTTTGACCTACATTTTGGAGAAAACTAGTTATATCAATTGTCATTACTAAGACTTCATGGATGCTGTTAAAGAAGTCACCTCTATAAATATCAATTTGATTTGAAAGGTGGAGGATTATAGGGAGAGAATCCTCTTGATACATTTGTTAGGTCTCTTCACAAAGTGCTATATTGCTGTAGTAATAAACTTCCAACTTAAGGGCATCTCATAGATCAGAAAAATACTTCAGCATGGGTTCTTAATCTTATGAAAAAGAGCTGAGTTGGAAATTTTAAAAATTGAGAAATCTTGAAGTAAGGATTAGGAATATGCTTAAACCACCTGAGCCATTTTTCTTTGAATGTCAGCCTTTTTATCTCAGCTTCTTGGCAGACTGCTACACTGTCTGAGCGGTGATGATGTCTACTTTCCTGTTTGCTGCTTTGTTGTGTTTCTAACTGAATGCCTCTCTCTTTTTAATTTCTGTGGCAGCATCCCTTGCTCCTCCTCCCCCCTCCATCCTACAGGTAACTCCACAGTTACCACTAATGGGATTTGTGGCCAGAGTTCAAGAAAACAGTAAGTTTGCTGCTTCCTTGTGCTATGATTTATTACTGGATGTGGCTTTTGTTTTGAGTGGATGAAAGATTTGCCTATATATAGCCAGAATTCTGCCTTCTCTACTGCCTCTGCAAGTTTGTCTGAAATTGTGAAGGGAGGGAAAAGGAAGTATTTTTATTGGAGGAATCTGATCCTTCCTTCTCTGAATTTTATTGGCTCTAGTGCACTTTCACAAGCTCTAACTGTTGGTCCCAGTGCAACTAATTGGGATAGGGAGTATTACTTCAACCTGCTACCATGGTTCTAGAGACATTTGCATGGTTACACTATTGCTTATTTTCAGTTTCAGACACTCCTCCCCCGCCACCACCTGTGGACGAGCCAGTGTTTGATGAATCTCCACCTCCACCACCACCTCCAGAAGATTATGAGGAGGAGGAAGCAGCTGTGGTGGAGTACAGTGATCCATATGCTGAGGAGGACCCTCCTTGGGCACCAAGGACCTACTTAGAAAAGGGTAGGTTTAGAGCTAGTAGAGATGGTAGGGTCATGTTTGTAACAACATTCTGTATAAGCTCCTGCCATCCTGCTTTGGACGTGGAGTCTGCCTGGACTCCTTTGTAACCAGTATTTGGTATTGTGATAGAGGTGCTCCTCTAAATGGCAACTTAGAAGAGTAGCTTAATTTTTGTTCTTTGAGTCTGAGTCTTTTGCCCCTTTCTCCACAAAGGGAGAGCGGGCTAATTACGTATTTTTTAAATCCTCTGTAATCTACTTGAGACTCCCTTTTCAGTAGTCTGCTTAATCCTAATAATCAAACGTATACAAAGTCAAAGATGAATGAATCGGTGCTGCAGTTGCACTTGAACTTTGAACGTATGGGTGCATCTGGAGAAGTGCTGCAATGTGTGTTTGGGGCTCTGGAAGCTGCAGTGCTGTACCAATGTGGGACTGTGCTAAGCTAAAAAGTGCTGGGTCTGTGTAGGACTGACTAACTGAGGCATTGCTGCATGGCTGCATCTAGATGTCTTCCAGTTCTGAAGTAGATGTGTGGAAACATGCTGGATTAAAACTACAGGTAAAATAAACTGAGCAGGTAAATGGCTTAGGGGCACTTGAATATAAAAAATCTACTGCCCTGTGTTCTTCTCTGAAACAGGGTCACGTACCTCTTAGTAATAAGGTGATATAAAATCTAATGTTGCAAAGTAACCAGGCATCTCAGCTGAGTGACTGTTAGAAACATTCAGTCTGCATCAGGGAAAAAAATTCAAGAATGCCACAAAGATAAACCCAGTGCAGGATTTCAGGGGAGGAAAAAAAAAAAAGAGATGGAAGAGGCACTTTCTGCCAACTCCAGCCCAAAGAAAATACTACTGTTCCTGAGGGAAATAGAGGAATATGTGGGAGTTTTTTTGTTACTCCCCCACCCTCCATCTAGCTGGTGTAAGTGTTTAGTGCAAGGAGTACCCAAGCTTTGCTGACAAGCTGAGACCATTTGTTGGACAAAGTGCCTGACTTGCAGGGTGTTTACATGACTTGCTTTATCTATTGACCTCTCCACACCTCTGATTGACAGCAAGTGTCACTAGTATTCTGTTGATGCACACAGGCTCTTTGTTTGATTAAAAGTTGCTTCAGCTTATTCTTGTCAGGGAAGCTTATTTCCATGAGGGCGGACAGGAAAAAAGGGATCTCATACAAAGTACTTCTCTTGCTGTGCAGTTTGGAGGTTATTCCTGATTATTGATATTACTGACCTAGCTTCACGAAATCAGGTTTTGGAGTGGAGTGGGGTTCCTGATGCTGCAGTTCTTTCTTCGGGAGAGGATGGCAAATTTCTTCAGGTTGGGACCAGTACAGCTAGTTTCAGCAAATACTGGATGTGCTACATTACTTGATGAACTTCTCCTTACCAGGCAGTTCTGAGAATGCACAGTATGTGCTCAGTTTCATTATGTTTGATGCATTTTGTGCTGGATGAAGATTGCAGGCATGTTCCTTTTTGATAGGAGAGTGAGTTTCAATATTTTTCTCTGTATTTTTCCAGGCATAAGATACTCTTTAGCCTAATTCTACATTCATACCACTATCTTTGTTATGTTTCTGCTATTCCTGCCACCTGGCCCTCAGCAAATCTGCAGTGGCATTTGAGCTAGGAGCAAAAGAGAAGAAATTGGACCCTGATGTGCATTGTCTGTTTATAGTGTCTCATACTAATGCAGTGGGGCGGGGGGTGGTGGTGTTTGTGGGGAAGAGAAGCCACAAAATCACGTGGCATGTGGCCTGGGAAAACAAATTTCTATTTGAAGAAATAATGACATTTGACTTATAGCATGTCGTTCTGATCTGCTTTTCCGCATGACTTCTATGAGCTTGTGAACTAAAATAATTTATATAGGTGCACATATGCACAGATCTGTTCCATCTCTGCAGGCAGTCCAGGCACTTGTAGTTTGATATTTACAGGAAAAATCACGTGGGATAGCAAAAACTGTAATTGGAGTCTTTAAAGGTAAGCTGGAGAAAGTCAGGCTTTTAGTCAGGACATTTTTCCTGTAGAAAAGCAGAAGTATAGGAAACCAAACATTCTCTTGTATTGATAAAGAGTGTCATGCAAAAACATAATTTTTATCTTTATTTTGAAAACTAGATGACTAAAACATCTAAAAGGTTATTCTGTTCTTAGAAACTCTCATAAAAGTAATAAAAAATTAAAGTGCTTACAAGATATGAAGAACTGTTAAATAGTAGGTTTTGGATACCAGAAAAATTACATACTGACATAGGTCTGGATTCTGTTGTAGTTTTATGAATAGCTCTACTTATATTCAGCCCGTGTCTTAAGATTTGACTGCTTTGCTGGAGTTGGGAAAGAAGTGCTTGGATGGGATTTTTTTTTTTTATGTAGCAAACAAGCTTTAAAGTTAATGAAAAGCCCCATGCTAAAAGAGGACTTTCAGACTCAAAGAATGTGTATATTTATCCTGCTGTGAACTAATAATGCTTTATCTTCTGCAAAATAATTATTCCTATGGCAACTCCTTAAGTTCCTATAAAGAGTACTCTGTGCCACATGATTCCAAGTGGAGAAAACTGATGGAAGGAAATGGCTGTTGAAACACTATTACCCCCCAAAAGTAGAGTAGCAATTCCTAGGATTTGTGCTGCTTCTTGTGGTATGACTGCTCACTTATATAAGTTCATGTGAAAGCATTTCTAGTAGGACTGGTGTAGATAACCTTTGCAAAAGTGAGAATGTGGAACCTGGGACACCCAAGGAGGTGTCAGATACAGAGGGTTGCTATATATTGAGATGGGATTCAGTATGATCCTGTTCAGTAAAGGGGTCATGCAGTGTGGGAGGTGTATTTAATATTAAGACATGCTCTAACCTACAGCTGAGGAAGGAAGTGAATACCAGATCCATTTTGAACAGGTGGAGAAACTCTTAGGGAGTTACAGTACTGGGGATGTTGAACTTGAGGACACTACCACATGGCTGTAATAGCAACAGCCAGCCTGCAATGTCCAGGAAAGCGCACTACAGTTTTCCATTGAACTGTGTGTCTGGGTGCGTGGCATGAAAAGGTAAGAAAACGTCCCAACTTTGCAAATCAGATGAACAGAAATGGGTATCCAGAAGCAAAAATTGCCCTCATACCACATGGAGAAAGTGTGTGGTCACAGCTATCAGATTTCAGTTGGATAATCAGTCTGGCCTACATTTGTGGTCAGTTTGACGTAACAGAGTTCAGCCAAACTCTATGTAATTGTCAAAGAATGAAAGATCACTGATTGGAAGAATATCAACCTAAATGAGTAATGCTGTTTTTTGTATCTGCATTGAAATGTGTTCAGATAGAAACTAAAAGAGGTTCTAGCTCAGTCTTGCAGGGAAGGATGCCACCTCCCAAGTCAGTATTGCTGCTTCCTGTCTCATCTGGAGCCTTTTTTGCAATACTGGCCTGGGATCCTGGTAACTGGTGGTATGTGACAAGCTCACAGCTTGAACTGGTGGGACTACAGACAGAAGGTTTAAACAACCTTTTAGAGAGAACAACGTTGCCAGTACAAAAGTAACATGCAGGAGGAGGAAGCAATGGTTATGTAAAAACAAAGTCAGGCTTCCGGTAAATTTTTAAGAGGCTTAACAAGATGCGAATTTTCATCACAAATTTAGGGAAGAGTTTCCTACTTGTGATCACAAAATAATGAATCCATTCAGTATCAGAAGGGACTAGAGTACACTCAAAAATGAGAAAGAAAGGAATTAGAAGTTACCGTGATCCTTGGATTATTATTATTATCAAGAGAATGAAGAACAACAGCACAGTGACTCTAGGAAGAAATGTTTTAAAATAAACAGGTATAGAAGGCAGTTAAAAAGGAATTTTGAAGGACTTCAATTGAATGTATCACATGTTCATGTAGTGACTTCTCTTTTTCAAGCTAAATATTTACTCATTTCTCCATTTGTGTTTTGTTTTCTTAGAATGATACATCTAAAACTAGTTAGAATGAGTTACTTAACAACTGTGCTGGTGTAAGTGTAGAGCCAGCAATATGTGTGCTTTAAATATGCTGTGGTCAAATGACACAAATCTCCTGTTTGGGAGATTTATTAAAAAAAAAAACCCAAACCACAAAAAACCTCTGTACATACTCTGATTCTCCACTGGGATTGATTTGTGTATTTTACTTTATTAAGCTCTTCAGGATCCAGGTTTCCCTAGTAAATATTTGTATTGATTCCTTTGCTCCCTTCAAAAGGAAATGACCTCTTTTCTTTTGAAAAGAATGATTTTAGTAGGGCTCTTCGACACTGTGCTCATGAACACATGCTGTTATTTTTTTCTCCTTGCTTTGGTTTAGATTATCTTCCCTTCTATCCCCAGTGCAAGATTTTAGGATGCCTGTCCAACATCCATTTTGTTTCAATGGCAGCACTGCGTGTTTCATTGCCAAGTGCTCAAAGCAGTGACTGATGCTATTTGTTAAAGTATTCAGAGTCTGGCATAGCTCATTTTCTGTATGGAACACATAATGATAGGACTGAGAATGGAAAAACATACCAAGTTCATGTCTATTTTCTGCCATTTCTGGACAGTGCTCTCTCTAATGTTTGCCAGTGCTTTGTCCCATTTGTTTGACTTTCCTAGCAGCTTTTGTGCCTTCAGTAAAATATTCTGCATCTGTAAGAAAAACGTCCTGATACAGTAGGTGTACGTTTTGTTTCAGAGAACTACCTTACTTATTTCCTCGCTCCTAACTGGGATTCAACCTTGGCACTGTATACCGTGGGAGTGACTTCTAGCTACTGGGGCTGCACATATGCATTTTACAGATTTAAATGTGGAGGTAGCTAAGGTAGATGGAAGTCTGGGACATTAGCCTTGGCTCATTCTTCTTGTCATCTGAAGAGAGCTCTTATTACTCTCCCTCTTCCATGTTTTCTGCTGACTTAGTTGTGCAGAGATCTGGTTTAGAATATATACCCACTACATGAATCTTAGAGTAGGTCTGAGTGGTCATAGCTATGGGGATTACATCCACCTCTTTGTATCATTCCACATCAAAAGTTTATCATATATTTGTAAACATTTCCTCTGGTGGGTCTGGAAATAGTAAGAATAGAAGAGTTAAAGTAGTCCTGGCTCATGTGCTTCACAGCATGAACTCTTACAAAGGGGGTTGGAAGAAACTGCCCCTCTCAGCAGGTCATTCTGCACACACAGGGGTAAGGTAGTACAGTTCTCTGAGATGCCTCAAACATGGAGAACTTTGTATGAGGTAGGTTGATTTTCCTCCTCCTCCCTGTACCTCTCCTAACAGTCATGCTCTGTTCTTTCCTAGTGGTGGCAATCTATGACTACACGAAGGACAAAGAAGATGAGCTCTCCTTTCAGGAAGGTGCCATCATTTATGTCATCAAGAAAAATGATGACGGCTGGTATGAGGGGGTCATGAATGGAGTGACGGGGCTCTTCCCAGGGAACTATGTGGAGTCAATCATGCATTACTCGGAGTGAAGACTAGAGGACAGAACACTGCATCTCCTGCTGCAGGAGCTGTCAGGGCTTCCCAGTTCTCCAACAGCCTCTGGGGCCCCATCCAGTGTAACCGAATGAAGGATAATTGTAACGACCACTCTTTTGGGTTTGGTTCTCCCCCCCCCCCCCCCCTTATAAAACAATAGTGATTTGAGTTGTTTGAACAAATGGCTCTTCCGGCTGCCAGCAGAGGCTATCCTGAGCCATCTGAAGTTGAATTAAGCTGACCCATTCAGATGTAACAAACTCGAGTAGCTGATACTTTACTCGAATTCTGACTTCTTCTGACAGGCTTTGGGATCTGTCTCAGGAATCCTGTGTGCCCTTGTGGTACTACCCTTGGCAGCAGTGCCTGGCGCTTGGAATGTCCTGGATGCTTGCAGTGAAGGGTTACTGGCCAGCGGACACCCCTCCTGTTTCTACACTACACTCCTGTGCAGCTGGAAGAACAGATGTGTGCTAGCTACACTGGGATTTCTACACAGAGCTGTTCCTGTAACTGACTTCCAGATAGTTGGATACATCTTTAGCATAAACACTTCTGCAGCTGCTCTGCACATGTAGGCTGACCACAGGGGCACACAGAGCTGGCTTTCATTCACTCACCTTTCAGTTTAGACAATTAAGATGGCTGCAGCCCAGAGGACCCCCACTCCTGTTTCCTCATCTTTTGAACACCACAGATTTGTTTTGTGTTCTGCACTGATGTAAATGTGCTCTTCTCTGCAGTGAGCTGGTTTAAACAGAACTCACAGGTGCCATTGATGGTGAAGGCAAAACAAAGTTTACAGGTCCTCCTGGGGTCTGAGGATAAACTCTAGGGGCTGTGATCTAAGGTTCAAATCTACTCACACCTGCTTGCACTAGAGAAACTTACCCCCAGCTTTAGTCTTATGCACAATATAACCTTAAAAATTCAATCAGGTATTGTAAATTGGCTATTTTGTACTGGATGACTAGATTTGCATATGTACTGTGAGAGCCCTGTGCAGAGGCAGGACAAACGGCAATTGTCGTCTTCATGTCTGTTGCCAAAATCTCTTCAGTGGAAGTAAAAAGGGCTGTTGTGCGTACTGGTTTCCCATGGAAATCCAAGCAGTAACTAGTAGTAGTCCTAGCTCTTCCCCCAGCCCTCTCCATGGTTTATTATAAAGAAATAGATATTTTGAGCTGTACTGGTGGATCTGGGGTGGAGTAATACCAAGTGAAGGCTCTGTAGCCCTGTGTGTTGATAGTTTGCTTTTTAATCTAGTCTCGGTTAAAAATGCTGCACAGTGATTCTGCCTAGCAGATCGGTGTAAAGTGATGGCTGTACTAGTCTGCCCTTAGGTAGGACTAAATGTTATCTTTGGGTAAATGTCATGCATTAACAGAGTGAACTGATTAAACCTCCTGTTGCAGTCCTGTTAGCCTGCCAATTGAGCTGACCCTGTATTGTGAGAGCCTCCTGGGCCAGGGCATCTTCCCAGACAACTTTTGTCTTGTCACCTGGCCGGGTTCCAGCTGGTACCAACAGTAGCTTGTCAAAGGCAAGACAATGCTGCAGCTGTCTTCTGAGGCCCGTGTGTAAAACAGAGCAGCGCACAAGAGAGCACTACCGGGGCTGGGTTTGTGATGGTATTGGCAACGGTACAGGTAATTGACCCAATCCCCTTGCTTGGTAATTGGTGCAATATCAGGATGGAGATGCGGGTTTGGTGCAAACCTGGGCAGGGAGGCGCCATAGCTGCTCAAGAGGGAGGAAAGAGGAGACAAACAGGTGAGGTGGGTTTGTGGGATACGGATGAATGTGATCACCCACTGTGAGCTTGTGGAAGAGTGCGTTAACTCATGTGACTGAGCATAAGGAACTAGTTTGGTTGAAGCCTACAGGAGGTACAACTTTGAAGAAACTGGTGCGAACATAAGTTACTTCCTCCCCTGCTCAATCCACAGCTCTGTCACCAAGACACGGTTGTCTTCTTTCTGGAAGCTGACAGCATTACCGTTTGGGATGAGTGTTAATCAGAACAGATACTCTTCTACCTTCCTCTGGGAAAATGTTGGTCTTGCAGCAAGACTAACAGCAGCAGCTATGTTTGGTTCCCTCAGCCCATCATTTCTCTGGGAGCAAGCCTAGAAAAAACACTGGTTGTGCAGTCACTGGCATGACCGTTTCTAGTGTCATAGGGCAGGTCTACAATTTTTTGCACAGGGAGGTGGTGCTTGCAGCCCAGCTAGTGGCCTGGGTGATTGAACAGCAGTATGCACAAGCCTTTGGTGCGCACAGGGTGACTTTGTTTTCTGGGACTATCGGAGCTTTCCTGGGTTTTTCTTGCCCTGGGTATGTTTGTGGTAAAGACTGAGCACAGGGTGCTCAAATGCATCAAGTTATGGCAGCTTAGTGAGCTAGTAAATGAGAGCCAAACCTCTCTCCCTGTGCACCCATGCTCCAGCTGGGAGGTCATGCATTAGTGAAATGTGTAAAAGCATGCACTTGAATACTTCTGACAGGCGGGTGGGGATTGTGTGTGATACACACCCATGTCCTTAATCTTCATTCAGCTGGTTGTTCATCTTGCAAGTTTTCCGTGTTGCGAGAGCAGAGCAGTGTGAACTCTAGGATGTGCTGAATGCTTGCCAGAGCTCAGTACAGAAATGAGGCTGCAAAACCTTGGAAGTGGAATGCGTGAAGCTCCTTTAAAGAACTGGCGCTGGTCTTACGGGCCAGGGGTTAGTTTGGTCCCTGCTGATAGCATGTGGAATTATTTATACTGCAAGAGCTGCTGTGGATGGAATTTTTGGGTCACCTCCTGCTGGTTTTTATGCTTTATTATGCAGTACTGATGTAAAGAAATTTGTTGAGTTTTATGCATATTTTTTATTTTGTACAGATTTTAATTTTGTGGCTCATTCGGGGATGATGTGATGTAATGGTCATAGACGAGGCCAAGGTAAACAGTCTTTGTATATTAATGTTACACAGATTGCATGCTAGTGAAGTCAGTGAGGGTTGTGTTTCCAGTTTTGTCCCATGTACTTCTCCTTCTCCAAAACCTACTCCTCCCACCCCTTTTTAATTTACATGTTTACTTTAAAAGGGGTGGAGAATGGGGCTGCGAAGAAACACCTCAGTATTTCAAGTAGATGCACAACATCTCTTCACTGAGTTCTGCTGCCACAGCTGAAGGTGTTCGGCATCACAGGCTGTTGAATCAGCAGTGTGTATGCATGAGAGAGAGGTGGGGGAAGGAGACACTCCAGAATAGCCCAAAGAGTGCTGCTGTATGGCCAGAATGAGTATGTTTCTCCCTTTGTGAGAGCTGCCTTAGCCCAGCCAGCTGTTTTCACTGTGCACAGAAATCAGTCAGCATCCTCTAGTGGTGTAGTTTTGCCTTGGTTTGCTGTATCAGAGATTTCTTCCTTGCTTTTGGCCCCAGGTACAAAGCTATTAACTACAGCTGCCTCTCCACCATGTGCCTGTGTGAGAAGAGGTCCAACCAAGTCTGTCCCCATCTAGTGCTGAAGCGGGTTATTTTGGTGCCTTCCAGCCTAAGAGAGACGGCTGAGGTTGCATGTGTCTCACCCATCTCTCCCCTCCACCTCCTTTCTCCCTCCCCCCCCCCAAAATTGATGTTGTTTATCTCGCTGGCTGTTGCAGCAGAGGGCTGAGAGGGGCAGGAGGGGCCAGCAGCAAATTTTATGCTTGAAGATCCTGATGGTGTGCCTGAAGACTTGCTGCCTTGACTGGTGAGACACAGGCAGACACTGATGTGCTGAAGAACCATTGGTCTCACTGGAGGATAAGAAAGAGGTGTGGCATGACTCTGGGGTAGATGGCAGAGCTTGGTGTGTGTTACCAGGAGGCTGACCACGTTCCTGGGACTTGGCTTGTCCTTGTGATTAGTTGAGTTGGGTGTTCTGAAAGTGGCTGGAGATTGCTGCTGGTTTGAACCACAGCTCCCCAGTGGTCTGTGGCTGGGTGGCTTACCAGTGGGTGCCAGGAAGGCTTAGACCCAGCTAGTTCTTGCTAGAGCAGTTTGTTCTCCTTTCACAGCTCCTGGGCCTTTTCTTTCTTTGCTGCCAAGGGTTCTTGGTGACAGCCAAAGATGACACTGGCAGCAATGCAGCTTCTGAAAAGTGGCACGTCTATCATCTAAGGTGTTTCAGTTGATCATGAAGAGAAAGCGACGCAGCAGGAGGACTGCAGAGGGTAGGCTGCCTGCCTGGTGTGTACGTGCGAGTTGTTGACTAGAGGTGCAGGAGGGTTGTGCACTGATAGAAACTGTTGTGCTTCTGTGGCATCTCCCACGTCTGCTTGATGGTGACTTACATGCTGTGCTCTTCCCAGCAACTTCCCCCACTTCCTAGCAAGCGCTGCAGATGTGCCTCTCTGCTGGAAATGAGCACTCTTTTTATTAGTTGTGTCTCTGGGCTTCAGGCACAAAGCAAAAGCAAAACTTTACTGTTTTCCTGTCTGGAAAGGATGGGACTTTGTGCGGGTTAGTAAACTGGGAGCATTTACAGGGCTTCTCCTCCCAGAGGTGGGACAGAACATCTTGCAAAACAGTTAGCATCTGTATTCTCTTCAGGGCAAGTTGTTGGAAGCTGCTAGAGGATGCTCTTGGAAAGAGCGTGGTGCTGTGCCTCCTACTGAGAGTGGTACTTGCAGTGGGAGTATAGAGAGTCACTGATTGAGCACAGCAGCAGTTTGGGAAGCATTACAAACCCTCTGCAGAGACTTCAGTTCCTATGTATGTCAACAACAGTGTCAGTGAGAAATGTACAGCAGTGTTGCATTCACTAAGGCGGCAAGTACCCTAATCTCTAGAGACAGTGGTGGTATAAACTGAGCAGTAGCGGTAGATGATGGGCTATAGCTTATGGGGCACCACTTGCAAGAATTCACTGTGCTTACAGGTCTGTTCACCTTCCCTACCTTTTGGCATCTCTCAGTATTAGGCACTGCCACAGTTTGTCGATAAAATGGTATTTACGCAGAGGTCAGAATAGTGCAAGAAGGGAACAGTTTGTGAGTTTTTGTTTTGGTTTGTTTTTCCCACCCCCCCCCAGGGCCC